TCCAGAGATCCCTCTTCCAATGTTCGGGTCCAGAGATCCCTCTTCCAATGTTCGGGTCCAGAGATCCCTCTTCCAATGTTCGGGTCCAGAGGTCCCTCTTCCAATGTTCGGGTCCAGAGGTCCCTCTTACAATGTTCAGGTCCAGGGGTCCCTCTTACAATGTTCGGGTCCAGAGATCCCTCTTACAATGTTCGGGTCCAGAGATCCCTCTTACAATGTTCGGGTCCAGAGATCCCTCCTATAATGTTCGGGTCCAGAGATCCCTCCTATAATGATGCAGTCCGAGGATTCTTCATACAATGTTTCTCTTCCAGTGTCACACCATTGCACTTTCTGCGCTTCAAGCCTCCCTCCCGCTAAGCCCCGCCCCCTCAGCTCTGATTGGTCAGATCTTTGTCGTTTGAATCCCGAACTAAGCTATAGAACACCGGAACAGACTGGCAGGGGGCGGGCACAATTGATGATTGGCAGGGCGTTGGCCTAATAGAGTGCGCGTGGCGGAGTGTTTCCTGACGGGAGACCGGAAGTGAGTGGCCAGGAGCCAGATGACAGCTGTTCTCCTCAGATGATGTGCACACACTGGGGGCCCCCTCGTTACTCCTCACAGAGCCTGTGGGGGGCCACACTGGAGCGGGCTTTCTTACAACTAGATATTTGGGTAACAACAATAAGTAGAGCCGCTTTCTTCTCTGTATAAAGCCCCTCCCATTGTACAAAAGGTTTAATTTGATTGGCTTAGGTCCAGAGGTGTTAGGAGGGCTGGGATTGGTTGTCCTGGAGCGGGGAAGGTGACAACTAGCCCAACGTGATGGACACCATGGCCATGAAATGTGACTTCCTGTGCAGAGTTGGGGGGGATGTCACATCTTAATACTTCCAAGTACTTCCTGGGGAGGTTTCAGGAGTGACCGGAGCGGAGGTTCTTTTCGATGTGTGACAAAAGGATTTTCTTTATGGAAGCCACCCAGTGGGGGAGGGTTAGAGCCTCATTCGGGTGTTATTGCTGGCTGGGGCCTGTTGGAATGATGGGGGTACCC